CACCAGTTCCCCACGGGTAGTAAACTATGGTGTGCTATGCCATCTATAGTCCATTGCTGCTCAGGAGAGAGAGAGACAACAGAAAAGTGAGTTGATTGCTGAAGAAACTGGACAGAGTTAAAAAAGAAGCATGAGGTATTAAATTCTTCCCTTACATTGTTCTAGAACCTGGGATTGCGAAAATAATACAGACATGAACAATGTAAATTTCTGTGCTATAGTGGCTCTTGATACATGACCTCATTTATTCTATGCCACCTGCTGGCAATGTAGGAATTGTTATTTCCATTGCACATTTGTGGAAAATGAAGGTCAGAGAGGTCAAGATACCTGCCCAAAGTCACACAGCTAGTAAGTGTTGGAGTTAGACTTCAAACACGGAGTTGTATTGAATGCTGCACCAGTGAGGGCTGCGGACTGTACTCTCGAGCTGAAGATCTGACCTCTGTACACACTGAGTCTTAGACCAGGGTTTTTTTTGTATGTCTGTGAGAGACGACCAAGTGCTGGCTTTCAGTTTCTCAAAGTGGCAAAGAGAGATAAAATCAATTTAAGTTACCTGGAATGAAGAAGGCCTTTTCAAGAAGACAATACCTTCTGGATCATGAGAAACAATTAGATAAGTTCGTTGCCAAGATGGAAATTCAATTCTTACTCCCAGGTCATTAAGAACTGACAGAGGTTCTAGGCATTGACAATTTTTGCTGTTTTTTGTTTTTTGCACATTTTTAATCCCATGAAGAGAATGCAGTATCAAAGTTCTCCAAGAAACATAATATAAACAGCTATAAAATGCTTCTATGTTTGATTTTCTAAATTCATGTCGTAGAAAGAGGCAAACCCCAACATTTGACAATTCTGTCTTGTGCACCACTGTGGACTTGGAAGGTGGGACTGGGAACTCAGAGATATGACTAGATCCTGTTGTCAAGCTACGTGGACAATTACTGCTCAAAAAAACCAACTAACACCATGGAGGCTGGGGAGCTTCCAACCCCTTTCAAGTCCTCAACCACGAACACCTCAGCTAAGTCACTGATGGTGAGGAGTAGGCATTGTTATTGGCTTCTTTAATCTAAGTTTAAAGAATATATCCTCCGACCAAAGTGGTAGAGATGGGGACTTTTGCCCTCCTTCCCTTCCATCTTTGACAATCACTTCCTGTGTGTGCTTGAGAGAGAAGCTTAGCCTCTCTAGTCTACAGTTTCCTTCATGTAACCTGGACTATATAGCACACAGTCTCCCATAGGAATGGGATGGCATCACGTGTCTAGTACTTAATTTCTCATACAGTATGTGCTCAACAAAGGCCCACTACTTGAAGAAAATAATTAGTGAGTTAATTAATATTCCCTTCCTATTTTTCAAAGCTTTTGACATACAAGTATAAGGTTTATGCTTACTAATTATCCTAATTAATAAAACTAAAACAGCATTACTTTGCAACACCAGAGGGACTTCACCATTGGAATACTCTTTTAAAGTTGGAAGAGAGCAGCGGAAGCCCAATTAGAAACACAGTCCTCAGGAGAATTCAACTACCGTTTGATGATTCCTACTCTACATGCCCAGCCCCCACTTCCGTAGCGAGCTAGCTACAAATCCATACTTCTGATTATCTACTTGGCAGTTCCATGTAGCTCTCACACAACCAGTTGCCATCAAGTCAACTCCAACTCATGGTGACCCCACATGTGTCAAAGTAGAATTGTGCTCCACAGGGTTTTCAATGGCTGATTATTCAAAAGTAGATTGCCAGGCCTTTCTTCCGAGGCCCTCTGGGCGAGCTTGAACCTTCAACCTTTGTGTTAGCAGCTGAGCTCTTTAACTGTTTGCACAACCCAGGGATTCTAGTTGTCACATGAGCTCCGTCAATTTATACATCCAACCCACACTTAATTCATTTCCCTAAATCCACTTCTGTTTTTGGATTCACAATCCCAGGTACCAAAATCACAACTCAATTTTCCAGGCCAAACCCATTGCTGTCAAGTCGATTCTGACTCATAGTGACTATTTAGGACAGAGTAGAACTGCCTCATGGGGTTTCAAAGGCTGTCAGTCTTTATGGAAGCACACTGCCACATCCTTTTCCTGTGGGTTTGAACCGCTGACCTTTCAGTTAGCAGCTGAGCACTTAACCACAGTGCCAGCAGGGTTCCTTGAATTTTCAGGCAAGGAACCTTGAAATCATGCCGACTTTCTCCAATCAGTCATCAAATCCTAACAGAGCTGCCTCATTGGTGTTACAGTCATTCATTCAACACATACTTATTGTACACCTGTTATGAGCAAGCAACCATGAACAAGAAGGCAAGATGCCTGCCTTTTTAGAGCTTACATTCTGGTAGGGGAGTGGGCACACAGTCACACACACATGCACACACAAAATAGCAAGTACAGTCATTTTAAAGCGTTGTGGTAGTTAGGAAGGAGAGCAACAAAGGGTGAGCTCCTTCAGATGGGAAGGAACTAGAAGAGGGTCAGTGTGTCTGGAGCGCGGTGCCCTGAAAGGAGAACGGGGCGAGACGAAGTTGGAGAGGTTGGCAGGGACCTGGCCACCCAAAGTAAAAAAGTAAAGGCATTGGATTTTAAGATTATGGAAAGCCAGTGAAGAGGTTTAAGCTGCGGAAGTCACGTGATCTGAACTGGGCTTGTTTGCTGGGAAGAGGTTGGGAGGGGCGGAATAGTCTCCTGGCTGTCCTAGCCTCCTAGGTCAGAGATGAGGACCCGAACCAGGCTGATGACAGTCTGGAAGCCAAGAGGCCTTTTCCTCTTCTCCATCCCCAACTCCCCGAATTATTTCAGGCCCTTGTCTTAACTCATTTTGACTTTCACGAAAACCCTCCTAGCATAACTCTAGGTTTATCTGCTCCTCATCTGTCCTCCTCCCCAATGCCTGCCAGACAAATTTGGCCACTCTTCTGCTCAGAGACCCCCTCCTCCTCCATCATTGTCCTACAAAGTTTCTCAGATAGGGTGAAGGGTATGGTACAATTCCCCAGAAGCTATTTCAAATACTCCTGACCAGGCCCCACCAGACATACAGAGTCATACTATCTGGGCACCATGAATTCTCCAAATGATTTAGATAATATACTCTCTTACCTTCCTGGTCATTGCCAGGAACACTGACCTATGTGATATAGTTTGGCCAAACAAAAGACCTGTCCAGAACTGCCCTGATTGGCCTACCCACTGGTCACCATCTCCTGTGAAATCCCTCAAACCTGAAGGAGAGGATATATCCTGTTGCAGTGTCCAGGGAAGTAGGTGGGTGGATGGATAGTTAAATAGGTGATTACAAAGCAGTAGGATAAATATTTTGGTATGCAGTTGGGAGGATTGAAAGATGTCAAGGAAGATAGCAAGATTCAGCGTCTACAAAATAAGATTTTGATGTATGAATGAATGCATGCAAATAATACCCATTACTCAAGGACAAGAAACACAGAGCAGCATTCCTTCTTTTAGCTGAACTGATGTCATAAGGCAGTGATTACTTTATATCGAAATAAGGAAGGACCTCTTAAACTAAGATTGCTTTTAAGGCAATATGTTCCAAATGACAAAGGACTCCACTAGTAGGGAAAGACATTTTATTTCCAAGCTTCTAAGAGGTTTCTACAAACAACAGAGGCTTAAAGTATAAAAGAAAAGATAAAAAAGTAAAACAAAAGAAAAAACAAGTATTTTTAACTATTGAAAAGTAGACAGCCTTTCGTTCTTTTTAAACTTAAACATAAAAATGTGAAAATATACTTGTCAAATCTAATCCAAATACATTCCTAGAAAAAAGGATCATCCATGGTGACAGGGTTACTTACAGCTGTATACTTGTTTAAGTGCTATTCATATTCCTTTTGAGTTACTTCTTCATTTCAAATTCAGTGGAGATCTGTGCAAATCTAGCAAAATATTCTTTGGATTACAAAAAATATATATAAAAATGAACCCAAACCTGCAATTATGGAAGTATTGAGACTGCAATCTTTCATTGCAATGGAAGATTCTAAAGTGACATTGTCCACAGAATCTATTCCATTGAAGTGTTCAGCCCAATTTGATTTAAATGCAAAGTAAAATGGAAGTGAGCACTTCATAGAAACATTTCTCTTTGTATGCATTTTGACTGAGTTGTAAAAATAGTATGTAGCAGGAAATCAAGAAATGCTTGAAACAAACTTTCCAAAAGTAAGAAAAAAAGATAATCTAAAAATCGTCTGCAATCCAAGAGAAAAGGCGTGCCCTGTGCCTAACTGAGAGAGGGAAAGAGCTTGCAGCATGACTTTGTGTGGTCTTTCCCCGCGTATTGCTACGTTTTGACCTTTGGCCCAAAGGAGCAGGTGAAATGTCCATCACAGAAGTCCCAATCCCCAGGAAGCTAGGTGGGATTGCATAAGACTATAGGCGAACCCACAGATCAAGTGGTATTGACCCTCAGCCCCCAACATGGTCCCTGCCCTAATTCTGAGCTAATGGCCCGAAGTGTATTCTAAAACAAAGGTGTTGAAATGAAGCTCTTTTTTTTTTTTTTTTCCCCATATTAAAACTTAAAGTCACATGAATTCAAGAGGAGTTAAAATGACAGGAGCAAAAATAAATAAGCAGTTTCAAGGGTCCGAGTCATGACGATAGTCGGGCAAGATCAATATAAGGAAAAATAGAATCGCCTGGGAGGGCTGATAGCTACGTGGGGCAAGTTCATATTCTTGACTCTGCAGTCCCCTTACCCCCAAATGCTCAGTGCGGGGCATGAAATTTATACTGTGTGCATGAGAGTTCTGATAGTTTCATTCTGTCATGGATTCGTCTCTCATAACCAGAGCATTACTGATAAACAAGATAAATGCATATTATATAACACGTATTGCAAAAGTCTAGACTGACCTAGATCTTTAACATCCTTCTTTTTTAGAAGATGTGTGTGAAAAGGAGCCAGGAGGCTAACACTGAGAATGTACAAAAAAGCTTTACATGATGTTACAGAATCTTGTCTGAAAAAACATTGGTAAAACCTACTTGATTTTAAATAAACAATAAAAGCAATGGACAGGCTACAAACAGATCATAAATAGGCTTAATCCAAGATCACAATTATCTTAAATTAGAAATATAAATGGGGCATTAGAAAGACTAAATAATTAGTTTTCAATGTTAAGAATCAAACCAGAATTAAAAAAGAATCTTTTTCTTTTATTTCAAAGGTTGCTTCTTGTATTGAAGCTCATATTAAAGCAACAGTACAATGTTCATAAAATATAAGTGTGATGCCGTAACATTTCTTACATGTCAGAATACTGATATTTGTATGTATACTAAAATAAGAACTTTAAAATTGTACAAATAGATACATTAAAAATGACATAGAAATAGGGCGCCTCTCACTGAAACAAGACAGTTATATCTGGCACGTATTAGTTTAAGATGAAAGTAGAAGCAAAAAGATTTACAAGAATCAGCAGTAACAAGATTGATGCTCAAGAGACATAATTATACATTGTATTGTACATACATTGTATGGGTTTAAGCTGGCTGAATATTATATATTTCAAGTTTAAAAATGCACTACATATAGAGTGTCCATAGTTTAAGGCGAAATTACAGCTCAGAACTGTTGTCCTTTCTAATTTTGTGGAAGCTTCTTTGACAAATTTAAAAAGAAAAAAAGAAGAGAAGAAGAAAGAAAGACTTAGATGTTCATAACACAGAAACGATTTCCCTTCATTGTAAGTTCACCGTCAGACTTCTCCTTCACTTAAATATTTTGTATGCCAAGTGGTTTTTTTTTCCTAGCGAAGTTGATAAACAACTTCAATATTTGCCTTTTTTGTAAGAAAAGGTACTTCACAGTATTTACCACTTTGATGTCCTTGCAGTTTTATTAAACGTATCCTCTCTGTAAAACATTGCTTGTTTTAAATGAGCCTTTTCTTGATTAAAAAAATACCTGTTTACATATCTTCTAGATTCTTCAGAACGCCAGACACAGTTCTTAAGGCCAAATTTGTATCATTATTGTTAAGAATCATCATCAAAAGTGTCTTTGGAACCATACAAGTCTGCTAGTTTCTTAAAACGAGGTCCCCAGTTCTGTAGATAGTCATAGTCCAAGTCTGAATCTGTGGTGGCAGACTCTAAGGAGCTCAAGGACCCGGCCACTGAACCCCTTCCTTCATAACCATAGATTTGGATGGAGTCATACGGAGGGGCCGTTGGGTCATTATCTGCCTCCTGTATTCTCGTGTTGATGAAGTCATCCACGTCTACACTGTTGGGGGCTGGCCGGAGTCCAGGTCTGGGCATGTACTGATACTCAGGTTTTATGTCTTTGCGAGGAATAAATCCATTGATACCGTCGGGATTCTGGAGGGTGGCAATGTCAAAAGCCTCTGTGTCTTCCTCCCCACCCCCTTCATCATCATAGGTAATGATGTTCTCACGGACATCTTCTTCCTCAAAGACGATAAGTGGTTCTTTCTTCTGCCTTCTCAGGGTCACAAATAACACAACGATGACTACAGGGAAAGAAAAAGAAAGTAAGCATGGGTCAAGCCCAGTATCCCTGGGTTCCTTTACCAAAGAATGGCTTAATGTGAATCTTGGTGTACAAATGCCTCAGAATTGGAGCTAGTGTATAAACTGAGAGATTTACCTGGAATCCTCAAAGATGTAGACAATTGCCCTCCATCTGCCCCTTCCTACAAAATGCTGCCTTCAAAACATCCCATCCCATGAAGAGGCAGCTTAAAAATATTCTGAACTTTTTACAAATGAATCTAGACACTATTTGGAAATTATTTCCAAGGTCCAATCTCCTTAAGAATTAGGAAGACTCTAGATATGTTGGTCTTCAGTCTTTTAAAAGTGACTTATAGAATTTCCTTTTTGCAAAGGAAGGCAGCTGCCTCTTCACATTTGACGAATGAGGACATTGAGAGACCCCAGGCTCACTTTCTATAGGAGGTGATGCGTAGCTTTCTCCCAGAGGTCTGGAGGGCCAGCAATGACCCTTGCTGCTGTTGTTAGGTGCCGTCGACTCGATTCGACTCATAGCAACCTTCTGTATAACAGAATGAAACGTTGCCAGGTCCTGTGCCATCCTCACAATAGGAGGTATGTTTGAGCCCACAGTTGCAGCCACTATGTCAGTCCATTTTGTTGAGGGTCTTCCTCTTTTTCACTCACCCTCTACTTTACCAACCATGTTGTCCTTCTCTAAGGATTGAATGACCCTATTCTAACTTAATAAGAAATCTTATCAAGAACTTGGCTGGACTCTCTTGGGACCACAGTATAGATGAGGGGAAGTTTATAAAGACTCCTAGGAGACAAATCTCCCATTTATTTGACCATAGGAAAATAGCATCAGCTGAAACCCCAGCTGAAGTAATGCCATCTCCTCCCTGGGAGAGGAGATTCCATTAAGCTTGGACAATCTGGGAGGAGTGAGAAGAGTCATTTGTAAGGAAGTTCAGACTCACTTAATTCTTTATTGATTCCCTCCCCTACACACCAGAGACTTCTATGTTATCCATTAGAAGCCTTTCCCACACACTCAGCTAGATTGAAGAAAATGGTTGTAGCTGAATTTAGCAAGTGGACTGAGAGCCCCAGTGGGTTCACCATCACTACTGAGATACAAGGATGAGTGCTGGCTTTCCCTGAATTGTGTGTGCTTCCAAGTGCTTACCAGAGTCCTCCTTTGTGCCTTGTCCCTGGCAGCACCTCTGCCTGGTCCATTTCTTTCCTCTTTCTTTGCTTGGCTGACACTTTCTCATCTTTTATCATGGAAGGTTTCCCTGGTATCCCATCCTGACCCCAGACAGTGCTATAGGCATTTGCTCCATGCACCCATTGGCCTTCGTCTTACCATTATCACAACACTTACCACATAATCTAAGACTTCTTCAAAGTTTTAAAAAGCAAAGATATCACTTGGATGACTAAGGTGTACGTGACACAAGCCTTGGTCTTTTCAACTACCTCATACACGTGTGAAAGCTAGACGATGAAAAAGGAAGACAGAAGAAGAAGTAATGCGTTCAAACTGTGGTGTTGGCAAAGAATATTGAAGATACCGTGGACTGCCAGAAGAATGAACAAATCAGTCTTAGAAGAAATACAACCAGAATGCTTCTTAGAAGCGAGGATAGTGAAACTTTGACTTACTTACTTTGACCACGTCATCAGGAAAGTCCAATCCTTAAAAAATGACATTGTGTTTGGTAAAGTAGAGGTTCAGTGAAAACAAGGGAAACCCTCACTGAGATTGACTGACACAAGCGTCACAATAATGGACTCAAACACACCAATGATCCTGAAGATGGCACAGGACCAGGCAACATTTTGTTCTGTTGTACATGAGGTCACCATGAATCAGAACTGACTTGATGGCAATTAATAACAACACTATATTATTGATTTCTTTGGGGTCTTTCATATTCTATCCCCTCTACTTGGAATATTCATCCATCCCAGCTCCCTTCTTTAGCTAGAAAACTCTTTCAGCATCCAACACCTATGTCACTCCCTCTAGGAAGATGTCTCTCACCTTCCTAGGCAATGTAAGGCTCTTTCTATTCTGTGCCCAACCACATGTGGTCCATGTCCCCATCACAGCATTCACCATGATCCTCTCCAGTCCATCTGTCCTGTATCTTTTCCTTGATGGACTGTAAGCTTATTAAGCACAGAGATCATGTAGAATTCTCTTTATCTCCCCATAGCCTTTAGGGTCTAATGTCCAGACAACACTCAATAAAAATGTGTTGAACTGAACTTATTTGCTTTTCCCTATGGAATCAGATTAAATTAATTCATTCAGTGAAGAACTAAATATCGTAGGAACAGCATGAGTTTGCTGTCAGACATACTTGGGTTAGAATGCTGGCTTTGTCACTGACTAGCTCTGTGACACCGGGACAAACAATCCACATTTTTGAGGTCCAGCAATGGTAGGTGCCATTAGCATCAGAGCTTTGCTGTTATTACAGGTGAAAGCATAGATGGGATGGGGGTACAGAAGATGGGCACCTAACTCAGCTGGGAAGTGCATTAAAAGTTCTGGGGTCTCCATGAGCTGAGGCATGCACACAGATATCACACAGGAGGAGCAGAGGAGGGGTTGGGGCTCTGTTTTGGTCAGGCTGACCTTCCAGTTCCTTGAATCCTTCACATGCTCTCTTTTGCCTCATGGCTATTGTTTCTGCCCCTAACCCTTCTCCTTCCTCTTTTGGAGCAAACCCTGGCTCAGAAACCAGCTCTCTACCACCTAAATTCCTCGCTCAAAATCGCCTCTGATGTCTGCTGAACGTCCAGCAGGTGGCTTCTGCTATTCAGCCCTGTGATATCCAATAATTTACTCATTATAACCACCCACCCCTGCTCTGTTATAACTACTTGTTAAATTGCCTTCCTGACCCCAAACCTATTGCTGTCAAGTCAATGCCAACTCATAGTGGCCCTACAAGACAGAGTAGAACCGCCTCATAGGGTTTCCAAGGCTATAATCTTTACAGAAGCAGACCACCACATCTTTTTCTCCAGGACCAGCTGGTAGGTTGAAACTGCCCCCCTTTCGATAAGCAACCCAGTGCTTAACCACTGGGCCACCAGGGCTTCTTCTTCCTGCCCCACTATACCATAAAATGCATGAAAGCAGGCACCACCTCCTTCTTGTCTCAAGTTGTAGCCATACTAGACAGCATGGTTCCTGGTAACCAGCCTGTACTTGAGAAATGCACGTGGTTCAAGGAGGGGCGTCCAGTTTAAGACCCTTCCACAGGTAAGCAGAGAGATGCCTTACCCAAGAGGATGATGATGCAGGCAAGGATGGCGATCAGCGCTCCGGTGCTTAGCCCGGCGTTCAGGATGTAGGCCTCCGCATTGCAGGACAGCAGCCCCCCATGCACATCGCAGCCACAGACCTTGATGGTGAGGGTGTTGGTGCTGCTCATGGGGGGGATGCCACCATCACTGATCACGATGGGCAGGAGGTATAAATCCTGCTTCTGCCGACTGAACCCTCCACGCCGAGCGTATACCCCAGCAGTGTTATCTGTTGGGAGAGGCAACACAATGGATGCTCTTGTCTCAAGGGCATTCAGAATCACAGCCTTAGCATTTCTGCATTCTGTTTGGTAGAGCTGAGGGCACGCTTCTCATTACAAAGGTTATCAACCCAAATCTTTCCCACTTATTCTTTAATCTAAGTATCCATAGAAGCCGCACTCACTTGGCAGGATAAGATCACAGACTAATCTGTCTCCATTTTAGAACAAAACTCAGAAACTGGTCCCTTTCTACTTGGCTGGGTGCCTTCGTTGGCAAGCTAACTATGCCATTTTTTGCCAGGGTGTTGCCCCCTTAATCAAATACTACAAGAAAGTATGGACTTCAACCACATAATCCATGCTACTATAGAATATAATTAAATATATAAGTGAACGTGAGAGATTTAAAAAAAAAACAAGTTTCTTCCTAAACAATGAATCCTCCTTTGTTTAGGAAACAGTGAGCTTCTGTTTATGGTGCTGGAAAATTTGGCAAGAATTACTGATGAGGTTGGCACACTGTGATTAATGTAACTGAGATTACTAAACTGTACAGTGAAAAACATTGGCAAATGTTGTGTTTTTTATATGTATATATATTTGCAACAATAAAAAATAAGCTTCTTCTTCATGTCAGCACTTTCCCTATAGCACTCTAAACCTTTGGGCAGTTTTTTGTTTTGTTTGTTTTTTAAGAGATTCTAAGTCCACTCTCAAACCTCGCCCAAACTATGGATCCACTCATGAGTCGCAAAGTAAAATACCTTATTTAAAGAAGGACTACTTTATAAGCTTAAAAATAGATTTATGTTTTCTTTGAAACTCAAAACCATTGCCCACCAGTTAACCATATCACACCTTCTGCTTAATATGATTCCAAGTTTTTTCTGTCGCCTACATGACACAGCCCCACCTCTACAAAGTGGCCTACAGACATCTCCCTGATCTAGACTTTGGCTTGGGTGCAGTGATGGTTCAGTGATAGTATTCTCACCTTCCATGCAGGAGACCTGAGGTCGATTCCCAGTCAACGCACCTCATGCTTAGCCACCACCTGTCTGTCAGCGGAGGCTTGTGTGTTGCTATGATGCTGAACAGGCTTCACAGAGCTTTTCCAGACAAAAATGGACTAGGAAGAAAGGCCTGGCAATTTACTTATGAAAACCAGTGATTGAAAAGCCTAGGATCACAGCGGTCCGATCTATAACTGATCACAGGGATAGTGCTAGACCTGGCAGTGTTTCATTCCATTGTGTATGGGGTCCCATTGTGCATGGGGTCGCCATGAGTCAGAGGCTGACTTGAGGGCAGCTAACAGCAACAGACTTTGCCTTGCCCTCAAGGCTCACATCCTGCCCTTCCCACATGTACCCATCCAGCCTGACATGAAGAGCTCACTTCTGTTTCCCAAGCACTCCATGCTCTTCCATGTGCCTTATACCCCCTGCTCTCTTGCCCAAAATAACTCTTCCTCCTATTATGACAGGTGAACTTCTCAAGCCTCACAACTGAACTCAAAAGTCATTTCTTCTGTATGGCCTTCCTGGATCTCTCGCTTCATCTTCTTTGTGATCATAACACTGTACCTTCCTATACATATCTCTATCCCACTAGTCTGTCACTATTTGTTGACACAACCATCCTGACCTCTACCAGACTGAGCTTCTTGAGAACAGGGAGTTTTATCTGATACATTTCCTTCTCTCCAGTTCCTGACACACAGCAGGCACTCAATAAATATTTACTGAACAATGGTATAACTGTATTCTGGGAAAGGTTTAATCAAAATTCCAGCTGTTAGCTTTCATGTATCGCAGTGTTTCTCAATCTTTCATAACCTCTGCCCCCAAAATGCTTCCTCATCATGTTTTCTGCATAACTCCACCCGCCAAAAATATTTTCCTGGCTTTTTCTCTGGGGAAAACACTGGTATGACAAAGCAGTAGACATTTTGAGTAGGTTCCATTACGTGTGTGTGTGCGCGCGTGCGCATGCACAGACATACACACAGTGATCCCCTGGTATGGTCTGCGTCCAGTTGTGGGATAAAAATCAGTAATTTACAGCAGCTTCAATGTTATGACAAACAGGATGGCCCAATAGCTAGGAGACCTTCAATAGGTAGACAGTACCCTGAATTAGCACCTGTGGTAGGAAAAAAAATCTTAGAATTTCCAAATAAAAATTGATTTTTTTTAGATTACAGCAAATGTAATATTTTCTCTGTGAGACACACAAAAAATATAGAAAAGGCAGATTCAGTCTTGTGTAGGGATGAGCAGACATTTTAGGAACTGGAGAAGGTAAGGTGTATATTTGGCGGGCTGGCCTCATAACTATTGATTCTCTGCCTTTCACTGTGACATCTTGATCAAAACAAGGCACAACAGTTAGCCCTCATTTCTGTATTTTCTGAATTTTGCATGCTTGACATATATTGCTCTTAATGGGGAAAATTATATATACTATGAAAAATAGTAAAAAAAAGTAAATAAATAAACCAATCAAATGAAATGTTAACTGAAAATTCAGTTCCTTAACTATTCTCTCCTTTCTAGGCTATCCCATTGTTCCATACTTAGCAGTTAGCCAAAAAAAAAAAAAAAAAAAAAAATTACAGATCTATAATACATATTTCAAAACAAGTTATTTTTTTTCTTCTTATAAATTGTTCTGAGTTCAAAAAAATTTTTCACAAATGAAATGTAACCTCTACCACCATTTTAAAGATCTGAAACATCACCCATGCCATCCTGAATACAAATGAACTTTAAAAATGTAAGAAGAAAAGCAAAGTCATCAAATGGCTTGGTCAAATATACCTCTCCTTGATATGGATGGTATCCCCCGTAGATCATTTACTTTGTCTACTGGGTCCTCCTCTGTTACCCATAGAGGTATGGTGGGAGGGGCGGTAAATTACTGAATGTTTTGTTTTCCTTAAGTTGTGGATGCCATAATGTAGAATCTATTCTTCAATGTGTCGTCCGTGTAAGATGGCACCTCCAGAGCAAGCTGGCTGACTTACACGTGAAGGTAATTGTAAACCAAACGTTAACTGCCAACACAGATCCCAGCACAACACCAGCATGTGAATTCAGCATGTTTCCGATTCTGAACAGCTGAGTCCTCTCAGACACACTGAAGCTATTACACAAAAGCACATCAAGGTCCCCAGCTGACTGAACCATTGACAACCCAGCAGAAATCTCAAGACTTTTATTTTTTAATCTCTTAGAGCAAAACATGTTTTACATATGGATTTTCAAACCAGTTTAAGAGGCAGGGTCTCTGCTTGGGCAGATACAAATTGTATGCTTTGGAATGAGTCACTTGGCCTACTAGAAGCCTCACTTGTTCGTCTATAAAATGAGGAGATCGGTTACTGTCAAGCCTGCTTCTCGGCATTGTTATTGGGGCCAAATAACATAATGAAAGCGAGTAACTGTTCTCTATACTGTGCTTCCAGAGGCCTCATGGGATCTGTCATGGACTGAATTATGTCCCCCCAAAAATGTGTGTATCAGTTTGGCTGGGCCATGATTCCCAGTATTGTGTGGTTGTCCTCCATTTTGTAATTTTATGTTAAAAAGGATTAGGGGGGGATTGTAACCCCCTTACTAAGGTCACACCCCTGATCCAATGTAAAGGGAGTTTCCCTGGGGTGTGGCCTGCACCACCTTTTATGTTATAAGAGATAAAAGAAAAGGGAAGCAAACAGAGAGTTGGGGACCTCACACCACCAAGAAAGCAGTGCCTGGAGCAGAGCAGGTCCTTTGGACCTGGGGTCCTTGCACGGAGAAGCTCCTAGTCCAGGGGAAAATTCATGAGAAGGCTGACAGAAAGAGGAAGGCTTCCCCTGGAGCTAATGCCCTGTATTTGGACTTTTAGCCTACTTTACTGTGAGGAAATAAATTTCTCTTTGTTAAAGCCATCCACTTGTGGTATTTCTGTTATAGCAGTGCTAAATGACTAAGACAGGGTCCTTCTACAGAAAACTTAACACCTGTATTGAGATCCTCCAGGACTGGTGGACGAGTGAACTCCTTGAGAATGGGGAATGTGTGTAACCAGCCTGGCTCTGCACTCAGGTGGTCTTTGTTGCTTGAGTAAATAAATGAAAGAAAGAAGACATTTCTCTTCCGGACCCAAGTCGCCCCAGCACCCATAGGAGTGGGAGGTTTCTTCTGTAAAGGGCATTTCAGAGGATTTGGTATCTAGGCCTATGATGGTCTTTCTTGTGTTCCATCCTGATTACTGATCTTTTGCTAACAGAGTTGCTATGGGCAGGAACTTCATGAAAAACAAAACTCAACAAATGGAAAAAGAAACAAACAGTGACAATAGCCTCCCCTCTTTGTTGTTGTTGTGTGCCATGGAGTCCATTCCTACGCATAGCGACGCTATAGGACAGGTAGAACTGCCCCCATAGGGTTTTCTAGGCTGTAATCTTTACCAGAGCAGATCACCAGGTCTTTCTCCCAGGGAGCTGCTGGGTGGGTTTTAACTGCCAACCTTTAGGTTAGCAGCCTAGTGCTTAACCATTGTGCCACCAGGGTTCCTTTCCCCTCTTTAATAGAAATCAAATTTGCATCCCAAATATTACTACAGACTCGCTTTGATGCAAATTATTTTAACCAGACTGGCCTCTCCCTACCCATCTTCGAGTGGGATGCCTGACTCTGGGCATGCACATCACTGAGGCTTCTGGGTGATCCCAGGAAAAGAGAGATTCAGCAAGGGCACGTTTCCAGGGAAGTGTCAGATCTGGTGGAAAATAAGAAATAGTCTATGAATGTAAAAATTTCCATCACGAGATTTCTCAGATCCTCCAAAGAGCTAACCTCCCAGTCTTTGGTGTCAATCCCATCTACGCTTGAATCCTGAGTCTTCTACACATTAATTACCTGACTGCAGACATAGTTAGTAAATGTCTCAAGCTTCTGTATTCTCAGCTATGAAACTAACCACTTCTAGGGTTAAATTTGATTCCATCCATGAAGGT